GGCCCCGCCCGGCCCGGCCCGGCCGCGCTTAACGTCCCTTCTCTCCGCTTTCCCTCCCAAGGTATTCAACGCACATTACAACTTAACCCGCCACATGCCGGTGCACACGGGGGCCCGGCCCTTTGTCTGCAAAGTTTGCGGCAAGGGCTTCCGCCAGGCCAGCACGCTCTGCCGGCACAAGATCATACACACGCAGGTGAATACCCCTCCGGCCGCCGGCCGGGGCGCGGGGGCACTCGGGCGGGGATTGCATTGGGGTTCGGGCTTTTTTTTTTTTTTTTTAGAGGAAAAACCTGAAGGCCCCGGGTAGGGCTGTGGGAAGGCGCCGGCTGCACGTGTGGCAGGACAGGGCGCTTTGCAGACGCCCTCGGGCGGGAGGTGTTTAGCCCCCCGACGAACAGGAGTCCTCCCAAAGCCCCGCACTCGCTGCCTCTTGTTTCCCCGTAGGAAAAACCTCACAAGTGCAACCAGTGCGGCAAAGCCTTCAACCGCAGCTCCACTTTAAACACGCACACGCGAATACACGCCGGCTACAAGCCTTTCGTCTGCGAGTTCTGCGGCAAGGGCTTTCATCAGAAAGGTACCGGGCACGCTCTGGGCCGCCGAAACCGGCGCGGGGCTATTTTGGTTTTCTATGATCATTATCAGTTATTATGATTTCACTTTTTAACCTCCGTGGCTGACTCTGCACCGCTAGATCAAATGACTGGGTCCCACCATCCGCCGTTTGCGGGGCGGGGATACAGCAGAGCCCGCTGCCCTGGCAGCTGCTGCCTGGGTTTGTTTCCCAAGCGCCAGCCGCAGGTTTCAGCACATTTCCAGCCTCCCCGGGCGCGCCTGCCGCTCGGCGCGGGGCTCGCGGGCTGATCCTAATCGTTCATTTCCATCCTGGCGCCGGCGCGGAGGCTATTTGGAAAGACCCGCTTTCTTTCGTTGAGAGGTTGCTTGAGGTCGTGCCGGGACCGGCGGGACGGGGCGTGCATTGACCCGGGGCGCAGAGAAGAGCGCTGTCCCAAGGCTGCCTGGCCGCAGTGCCCGGGCTGGGAGGGGATCGGGGAGGGCACGCAGCGCGCAGTTTTCAGCCCCGTGTCCCTTTGCCCTCCTTGTGTGTCCGCAGGCAATTACAAGAACCACAAGCTGACCCACAGCGGGGAGAAGCAGTTCAAGTGCAATATCTGCAACAAGGCTTTCCACCAGGTGTACAACCTGACCTTCCACATGCACACCCACAACGACAAGAAGCCCTTCACGTGCCCCACCTGCGGCAAGGGCTTCTGCAGGAACTTTGATCTCAAGAAGCACGTCCGCAAGCTGCACGACAGCGCCCTGGGACTGCCCAGAGCCCCCGCCGAGCTGGGGCCCGACCAGCCGCCCGCAGCCTTGCAGCCGCCGGGCCCCCTGCTGCAGCCGCCTCTGCACCAGCCCCAGCCGTGAGGGCAGCACGGCCCGGAGCTCCGCCGCCTCTTTGCATGCACCTGTTAAGCGGTTTTGTGTATTATGCTCTATATCGCCACTCACGTTTACTGGGCTGATCGTTTCCTTCTCTTTGTTTTGTTTTGGTTTGTTTTTCCCCCCCTCCTATTTTTTTTTTTAAAGACTCGATCCCCCCCTCCCCTTTCCTCCCCTCCCCTCCCCTCCCCTTTGACATCTCAGGTTTGGAGATGGTTTTAAGAGCAAAAAAGCCAAGCCAATTTCTGCTGTATTTATTGGGATCTGTATTATCCGAGCCGGGAATGCTGCACCACTTTAATTATTTCGATGTGTATATATTTCCATTGTGTTGATTCACATGCCTGCTGGTTGTCCCTTCTTGATTTCCTCCCCCGTTCCTCCCCCTCTTGAATATCGTATCTCTATGGACAGAGCTGGTTCACTATGTACGGAGTTGAGTCTTGCACGTGAAACATTGAATGCGTTGACCTGGTGGAAAAAAAATAAATACTCGGAACACGATGATTGACTCATCGAGGGCGCGCCAGCTCCTGAAATCATTGGGCTCCCCGAGCGCTGCTCCTCTTAGAAAGCTGCGGTTCCCGACATGCGGGGGTGCCGCGGTGTCGCCAGCCGCGGAGGGAAGATGGATGCGGACCAGCGCGGTGGTTGGGTGCCAGGTCCTTGAAATGCACCGCGCGTTAATCAGCAGCAGCTCCGCTGTGAGCCTCGGCTCGGGGGTTGCTAACTGCAAACCTCTCCAGCTTTCTTGCCAAAACACTGCAACAACTGCTAAAGACTTTAATTAAGAGGGGTAATTAGTTCGGCTTTATCAAAGCCCGCTTGTTATACTATTAGCTGCTCGCGGGAAGCTGCCAACCAGCCTTGAAAACCGAGCACGCTCCTCGCTCTCCGCTGGCCGCGCTGCGCGGGGAATTGCTTGCTTGGAAAATCTCCCTCCTGCTGCCAAATGCAATGCCAAGAATTAAAAAAAAACCCACCCCAAAACCAAAAACAACAAGCAGAACACACAAACAAAAAAGGCGCGGGGCAGGGCCCGGCTCTGAGGACTGCGGGAGCTGCGTGGCCCCGCAGTGCCGCGCGGGTGGGCACCGCCCCGGAGCTGCCCCCTCCCGCCCGGGCCACTGGGTCCCGACGGGTCGCAAAGGGCCGGGGCCTGGCGCGGCGGCCCCCGGGAGGAGGCGGCAGG